CCCCAGCCCCTCACTGGGGGATTCTAGGCAGGTGCTCTACCACTGAGCCACACTCCAGCCCCTCACTGGGGGATTCTAGGCAGGGGCTCTACCACTGAGCCACACTCCAGCACCATTTCTTCTTTTCTCCCCTCTCAGTCTGCATGTCCCAGATGTGCACCTTTGATACTCTAAATGATCTCTGCGGATGGAGCTGGGTCCCAACTGCCACCGGGGCTAAGTGGACCCAGAAGAAGGGATCATCGGGGGAGTTTGGTGTGGGGCCTGATGATGACTTCTCCAGCCCTGGTAGTGAGTATTGAAGCTATCCTTCGAATCTCTGGGATCTTGTCAGCTCTATGTCCCTCTACCATAGCATCCCTAGGGCAGGCCAGGTAAAGCCCAGCACGCCCCTCCCCCAAAAGCTTCTTTCAGCTTAGGGATCATGGCAAGAAGTGTGATTTCGAGCTGGAGAGATGGCTCAGTGGTTAAGAGCTCTGGCTGCTCTTGTAGAGGACCCATGTGGCAACAACTGTCTACAACTCCAATTCCAGGGTATCCCACACCCTTACACAGACACACATGCAGGCAAAACATCAATGCACATAAAAATAAATAAATCATTTAAATAAACAATTTTAAAAAAGTAGAATGATTTCACATATTCTCCAGCTCCCCACTCCCCCACCCCACACTGCCAGTGCAGCCAGCTCATTCCCTCCTTCCCTGGCATCTTCCATCCTTCATTCATCCAGTTATTCATCTGGTATCTACTGAGTAGCTCCCCTGTACACTGTCCCAGTAACTTGAGAATCAATGTACAAAACCAGCAAGGAGCCAGGAATGATGGTATACGCCTGCAACCCCAGCCCTGGGGAGGCAGAAGCAAGAGGAGGTGAGGTTCAGAAACTGCCTAGTCTACACAGAGTTCAAGGGCAACCTGGGCTAGACCCTGTCTCAGAAACCCACGAACAATAAGGGCTGCGGATGTTGGTCAGTGGCCATGTACTTGCCTAGTACGCCCAAGGCCCTGGATTCCATTCTCAGCACCATGGAAGGAAGGGAGAGGTAGGGAAGGAGAGAGGGAGCCTTCGTAACACACGCCTGTAATCCAAGTACCTGGGAGACAAAGGCAGGAAGATTGTGAGTTCGGGTCAGCCCGGCTTAGTCAGCATGACTGACTTAACGCCACTTAGATTTCCTGCTACGAAGCCGCTGTCTGGAACAGCAAGGGCTGATGGGGACCCCTGAGGAAGATTTGCAGTTGTTTAAGCCAAAATGTTCCTTCCTAGTGATTTCATTCACGGTGATCCCTTCCCCCTCCCCCGTTCCCGTACTCTGCCTGGGCTTTCTCCGGTTTCTGCCCTCTACAGGGTGCCCCTCTCCTCTTTATCTCCACCTGGTCCCTGCATCTGCCAAGTTTTAGAGGTCAGACTTCAAGTGATGTTTGATTTCCATTTCCAGTGCATACTTGTTTTTTTTTTTTCTTTATTTTTATTTTTTATTTTGGTTTTTCGAGACAGGGTTTCTCTGTGTAGCCCTGGCTGTCCTGGAACTCACGCTGTAGACCGGGCTGGCCTTGAACTCACAGAGATCTGCCTGCCTCAGCCTCGGAGTGCTGGGGTTAATGGTGTGCGCTACCCTCCTGTTCCGGGAGGTTTGCCTTCTAGAAAGTTCTTCAACCTCTCCTTCCCTCTATTTGAAAGCCCCAGTAAATGCCCTGGGCATCTCCTCTCTTTACCTTTTAGCCTTTAACATTACATCCCAAATCAGTCTTGTTAGTAGCTGTTGGTTGGGTTTTTAATCTTTCCTGTTTTGTTTCGAGCAAGGACTCCAAGCTCAAGCTTTGAGCTCCAATCTCCTGTCTCAGGTTCCCAAGATGCTGGCTGAAACTACAGGCACCAGGCCTTCGGGCCCTTGTTTCTTCTTGCTTTCTCCTTCGCCATTTATTTACTTCCTTCCCTTCTTCCTTCTCCTGTTTTCCCGACACCTGCTTGTTTTCTGGGCTTCCTGGCCTCCCTCAGCCAAGGTTTGCAGGAGCCAATGGGTGTGGGACAGGAGTACGCATGCCTGCGCGGACCTCCGCCTCCCATCAGGGCCCTCTCCCCTCCCTCTTGGTTACTAGTTGCGTCACTAAGCGAACCTCACGCTGATTGGCTGTCTGGCTATGATTTTTTTTTTTTCTTTTTGGTTTTTTTTTCGAGACAGGGTTTCTTTGTGTAGCTTTGGTGCCTGTCCTGGAACTCACTCTGTAAACCAGGCTGGCCTCTAACTCACAGAGATCGCCTGCCTCTGCCTCCCAAGTGCTGGGATTAAAGGCGTGCGCCACCACCGCCCGGCCTGTCTGGCTATGATTAAGGGACCCAAGAGACAAGACTGTGGTGGCTGTTTCTGAGAGGATGCCTGCATTTATTATAGCGACACCGGCTCTTTACCCAGTCCCAGCACTCTGCCAGAGGTGGCTGGGTGTAACTCCCTCCGCACAGCCACATTCTAGGCGGCTGTCGGAACTCCCCATGGCCAGGTTCCCATCCTCCCAGGTTCCTATGCCTTGGTTACTGACTCCCCTCCATCCCAGCCTCTTCACTGGCCCTTTCTTTCGCAGGTGGCTACTACATGCTCCTGGACTCCGCGAACGCTAGGCCAGGACAGAAAGCCGTGCTTCTGAGTCCCCTGAGCCATTCCAGTGGCTGTCTGACCCTGTCTTTCAGCTACATCATGCGCGGCCGGTCGCCTGGCGAGGGCCTTTTCGTCTATGCTACATTCTTGGGTTAGAGGAGATCATTGACCAGGGCACATCTGGGAGGGCTGCACTGATGGAGAAATAAGGAGGAGTATCTCCTTAGGATGCATTTGTGAGACTGTTCTGTGTTTTAGAAATGGGAAGGGCGCTGGATTCTAGAAAAGTAAAGTACAGCCATGGCGGGCCGTGGCTATAATAGTAGCACTTGAGGGGTATGGGGCGGAAGATTCAAAGTTCAAGGCCAGTCTCTGCTACAAAGTGTGTTTGAAGTCAGCCTATACTGCAGGAGACTGTCTAAAATAAACAAACACACCAGCCAGGTGAATAGCTCAGTTATTAAAGCGTTTGTCACACAAGTTTGAGGACCTGACGACCATCCCCCAACACCCATGTAAACATAGTAATGCTTGTAACCCCAGCCCTGGGGAGGCAGAAAAGGATCCCTGGGGGCTCCCTGGTCAGCTAGTTTAGGCTAACTAATAAGCCCCAGGTCTGAGATACTCTGCTTCAAAAACCAAAATGAATAGCTCCTGAGGAAGGATGCCTGAAGGGAACAGATGTGCACGCACATCTGCATATGCACATCTGCATATAAACCTGCACACACGTACACTTATAGGTACGCACATGCATTCATGTGCTCTTGTGCACATAGACACCCACAAAGCAGGAGCAAAGAGTGAGAGTGCATACATGCGCATATGTGTGCACACACACAAAGCGGGAGAGAATGCACGCATGTGCACGTGTACACACACACACACACACACGCACACGCACACGCACACACACAAAGCAGGAGGTGGGGTAGGGATTGTTTGCATCTGTAGGAATATTGTCCTAGCATTCTCTGTACAGCTTGTCCTTCACTCCAAGTCCCCACAAACTTCCTTCCCTTCTGGTTTTCCTCCACTGTAGGCAACATCCGGAAACACACTCTCTTCTCAGGACACCCCGGACCCAACTGGCAGTCTGTGTCTGTCAATTATACAGGACAGGGACAGATACAGGTACAGAGGAGCAAGGTCCTCATTAGGAGTCCCTATGTATGGTAGGTTCTCTCTGCGTTGGGATGAGCTGAGGTTCTGGGCAGCAGGAGCAGGAGCTGGGTCTTCGAGTGGAATGCCAGATGAGAGGTGTCTTAGTTTCTTTCCTGTCAAGGTGACCAAACACCCTAACAAAAGCAACTTAAGGGAGAAAGAATTTATCCTGGGTGACAGGACAAGGGTACAGTCCACCACAGTGAGGAATTCATGGCACCAGGAGCTTGAAGCAACTGGTCACTCCCATCCCAGTCAGGAAGCAGAGAATGATGAGCACATACACGCTGCTGGTCAGCTCCCTTACACCGTCAACACAGCCCAGGGAATGACGCCGCCCATGGTGGGTGGGTTCGCCCACCTCAGTTAACATAAAACAATCCCCCAGTAGGCATGTCCAGAGGCCTACCTCTCGGGTGACTTTAGATTCTGTCAAGTTGATGATTAATAGCAGCCTTCAGAAGAGGACTGGAAGATTGGGGGCGGAGGGTTGACTGGCCTGGTCACTCCAGGCCTGCTCTCCGTTTCTTTTCAGTTCATGGTGGTGGGTATGTTTGGAGAGATACCAGAGCCAGCAATAGCTGTGGATGCGATCAGCATTGCTCCCTGTGGGGGTGAGAACACAGCCTTGGGAACCTCTGCTGAGAGAGGGGTTGGCGTCATGGGGCGGGGCTGGGGCACAGGCTGAGTGTCTCAAACTTCCCTCTTGGAATCTTCTAGAGAGTTTTCCTCAGTGCAGCTTTGAAGACAGAACTCATCCTTTCTGTGACTGGAACCATGTGCTTGGAGATCCTGGACACTGGAGCTGGGGAAGCAAAAGCGTACCCACCCCCATCTCAGGGCCCCCCAGAGAGTTCCCATTTGGAGGTGAGAAGACTTCTCCATGGTTATGAGTCATTGCATCAGCATCCAGCTAGGGACTTGGTGAGGATGAGGAGGGTGTAGGGAGCCACCTCCTGCAGGTGTTTATGGAGAACTCAGATCCGGAAAGTGGACTCTGCCGAGGCTGCTCAAGACAGTGGGATCATTGCAACCCAGCAGGAAACCCAGGCTTCCCCACATGGGCACAGCTTCGTTGTCGCGGTTGCCAAGAATCCTCCAGAGAGGGGCTGGCGTGTGTCTGTGTGTGGCTCAACAACAGAGCACTTGCTGAGCATGTGAAAGTCCCTAGGTTCTATTCCTAGCTTTCGGGGTGGGATGGGGAAGAGCAATTGAGGCTTTGCTCTACATTGAGCCCAAGACTTCAAAAACCCACAGTCGTATTTCTAGCCAAGACATTTGCGGCTGATGCCAATAGACTCTGGGCTGTAGAATGGGTTTCCCGTGTCTTCTGGCCTCCTTCAGTTAAGACTCCTAAGTGAGCAGAGTGCCCTTGCTGTGATGCAAACCTGTGAATGGGGAGGCTAAGGCAGGGACGTTGTAAGTTCTAGGGCAGCCTGAGCTGTATAACAAGACCCTGCCTCAGAAACTAAAGAAAAGAGCAAAGAGGAACACTACAGTGCATGTCGGGTTGTGTGCTCACCTGGGAAGCTCGACATGGCCACAGCACGTAGCTAGACTTGTCATGTCGGCAGGTGTCCGTGTGGGGAGGGGCTCACCTTTCTGGTTCCCACTTCCTTCATCCAGGGGATCATTATATTTACTTCGATTCCGTCAAGTTATCCCAGGCAGGACAGTCTGCCAAGTTGGTGAGTCCACCCTTCTGTGCCCCTGGGGACGTCTGTGTGGAGTTTGCTTACCACATGTACGGCCTTGGAGAAGGGACCACACTCAAGCTCCTGCTGGGGAGTCCTGCGGGCAGTTCGCCCGTTTCCCTGTGGAGCCGTGTTGGATCTCAGAGCACGAGCTGGGTGAACAGCTCTGTCACCATCCCGAAGGGGCATCAGCAGCCCATGCAGGTGAGACATGGAGAGTGGGCCCTGTATGTATGGGGGGGGGGCACGTAATAAGGGGTCCAGGGTCCAGGGTGGGTGATAAACTGAGGTAGAAAGGTGATATGTTAGTTTTTCTTGGGTGCTGTGACAAAATGCCTTACAGGAGCAACTTAGGCAAGGAGAGATTTGACTTAGGGTTTTGGGGTGGGGTAGAGGCCATCATGGCGGGGAAGGCATGGTGGCTGGGCTCATCCTGCATGAGCTTGCTGGGTGGCTCATAAAGACCACAAAGCAGGGAACTGTACCAAAAGTAAGGCCAGGCTACAACCATCAGATGCCCATCTCCTAACGGCCTATGTCTAAAAGTTCCTACCACCTCCAAACAGCGCCACCAGATGAGGACCAAGTATTCTAACACACAGGCCCATTTGGGGCATTTCAGATTCAGGTCGTAAGAGGAGGAAAGAGCACAGAGAGGAGGCAGACCTAAGGTTCAATGGGGTGGGGGTGTGCTGGATGATCGAGGCTCTAACGAAGGGATGCTCAGGCAGAGGACACGCACGTGCAGCAGACTTTTATTGTCCTGTTCTTCCTTCTTTGTCCCCCGTGGCCTGCAGTTGTTTCTCGAGGCCACTCGGGGTACCAGCACCGCCTTTGTCGTAGCTGTGAATTTTATCTTCATCACTCATGGACCATGTCGGGGTAAGATGAAACTCGAGGGCCCAGCCTCTCCCACCCTCAGTACCGGGAATTAGAACCCCGTGCCTCATAGCTGCTGGGCAAGCACTCGTGTGCTCTGTCACACCCCAGCCCTTCCCTAGAGGATTCTAGGCAAGTGCCCTCCTACTGCACTGTAGCCCTCGCCCCTCTTGGGGATCCTAGGAAAGTTCCCTGCTACTGAACGCTATTCCCGGGCTTGTTGTATTTTCACAGTAAGACAGGCTTTCCAAGGTAGCCCATGCGGCCTCAAACTTGTGATCCTTTTGCCTCAATGTCACTGGTGACTATGATGACAGATGGGCACACTATACCCCGCTATGACTGTGTCTTTGATGGCATGAGTTTGTGTGGCAGGATCCAGAACCTTCCTTCTCTAGTGGTACTGCAGGCAGGCCCTATCTCCTATTCAGTTTTGTGATTCCTGTACCTGGCACTAACGTGTTTTGGGAGTTCTGTCTCTTGAATAAGTGAGTGAAGGTTAGGGGATTGGGAACAGAAACAGGGGTGACAAAGTGGCCCCCATGAACCCACCCACTCCTATTTAGGTGAGTGAAAGGGAGGTGGTCTAATTTTGACTAATTAACAGGATTTTGTTTTTCTTTGTAGTATCGCAGCAGACAGAGATTCTACCTACTGGTCCTTCTGAAAACATTGTCTTTATAGTCCCTACAGAAGCAACCCCTATTTCCGTAGAAATATCTTCCACTCACACTGAAGAGACCACCACCCCTACAGAAGTGGCCACTGTAACTGTGGAGGTGACCAGTGTCCTTCAGGAGAGCATACCCACAGAAGTGACCAGCGTCTCTCCTGAAGGGACCAGTGTCCTTCAGGGGAGCATACCCACAGAAGTGACCGCTGTCCCCACAGAAGTGACCAGTGTCTCCCCTGAAGGGACCAGTGTCCTTCAGGGGAGCATACCCACAGAAGTGACCGCTGTCCCCACAGAAGTGACCAGCGTCTCTCCTGAAGGGACCAGTATCCTTCAGGAGAGCATACCCACAGAAGTGACCAGCGTCTCTCCTGAAGGGACCAGTGTCCTTCAGGAGAGCATACCCACAGAAGTGACCAGTGTCTCTCCTGAAGGGACCAGTGTCCTTCAGGAGAGCATACCCACAGAAGTGACCAGCGTCTCTCCTGAAGGGACCAGTGTCCTTCAGGAGAGCATACCCACAGAAGTGACCAGTGTCTCTCCTGAAGGGACCAGTGTCCTTCAGGAGAGCATACCCACAGAAGTGACCGCTGTCCCCACAGAAGTGACTGCTATCCCCACCATCCCTACAGAAGTGACCACTGTCTCTCCTGAAGGGTCCATCATCTCTACAGAAGTGACCACTGCCACCACAGAAGTGACCACTGCCACCACAGGAGTGACCACTGCCACCACAGGAGTGACCACCCTCTCTCCTGAAGGGACCATTATTCCTACAGAAGTGACCACTGTCTCTACTGAGGAGACCACCACCTCTACAGAAGTGACCACTGTCTCTCCTGAAGAGACTACCATCCCTACAGAAGTGACCACTGTTTCTCCTGAAGAGACTACCATCCCTACAGAAGTGACCACTGTCTCTCCTGAAGAGACTACCATCCCTACAGAAGTGACCACTGTCTCTCCTGAAGAGACCACCACCTCTACAGAAGTGACCACTGTCTCTCCTGAGGAGTCTACCACCCCTCCTGTAGGGATTACTATCTCCTCTGAAGAGACCACTGTTCTTACAGAGCAATCTACTGTCCTCATGCAAATGCCCACAACCTGTAGACCACCCTGTCCAAGCCCTTCACAGGTTCCAGGTGTCTTGACGACCAGCATGGCCACAGCTACAGGTATATCTGCCACAGGGATAAGGTGGACAGAGCATCGGCTGGAGCTCTCAGAGGAAGACAGTGAGGAGATTAGGGAAGGATGTTCCGGGAGTGAAAGGCCACAAACTGAGTCATATCCTCAGGCTCCTTTCCTCTTTTTTTCCTTCTTCTGACCTCATTCTATTTCTCTCCCTTCTCCTTTCCTTCCTGTCTTCCCACATAGCTGAGGCTAGCCTCAAATTGATGATCTTCTTGCCTTGGTCTCCAGAGTAATAGGATTACAGGCATGTACCACCACACCTAACATTGACCTGAATATTTCATACAAATGGAACCACGGAATGGGTTTATGAGCACAATGTCTTCAATAATGCAGTATTATTATAACATTGGTCAGAACTTTTTTTCGTTTTTGAGACAAGGTCCTGTTATGTAGCTCAGGCTGGCCTCGAATCCTTGGAAGTCTTCCTACCTCAGCTTCCCACGGAAGCCACCATGCCCAGCTATTTCATTCTTCTTCCTCTTTTTTTTTATGACAGAATAAATGCAGGCTTATTTAGAAAAGAACTTGAGCTCAGGGTAGGAGAGAGACAGGGAGGCTTTGGGGGCAGGATGGGGCAGGGTGGGGAGGGGTGGGGCGGGGAGCAGCTGTGTAATGAAGCCTGATGAGGCTGTGTTTTCCTTCAGAGAGCTGCCCTGCAAATGCCCACTTTGAATTGTGTGCATGCCCTGCATCCTGTGAGAGCCCCAAGCCCAACTGCCAGTCTCCCTGCAGCCCTGGCTGTGTCTGCAATCCTGGGTTTTTGTTTAGTAACAATCAATGCATCAACGAGTCAGCCTGCAATTGCTTCTACAACAACAAGTACTATCAGGTATGCCTCCCGGGTGCCCAGCTTTCCAAAGGGGAACTGATGCCAGAACACCCGGGCCCTGGTGCCCCCGATCTCTGTGAGAGAGGAGCTTAGAGAGCCCCAGGGTGTAGGCTCAAAGGACTGGATACACAATGGTAGAGCCATTCATTCAGCACTGGATTGGGTTTCAGTGCTGAGGATGGAGCCAAGGACCCCTTGCCTTCTAGGGAAGTGCTCTACTAAGGACCCACACTCGCACCTCTTCACTGGGGCATTTTGAACAGGTGCTCTACCACTGAGCAATGCCCTCAGCCCCTCACTGAGGACTGTAGGGTAGTTCTCTACCACTGAGCTGCATCCCCAGCCTAGGACTGACTGCATTTTCAGAGCTCAGTCACCAGGTATGGATGGTGACTGGCATACTAGACAGATCTAGAGTCAGGTAGCAGAGCTGGAACATGGATGCGGTATTCATTTTCTGCATGATCTTGAGAAAGTTCATCTTGTTAAATCTGTTTCTGTGGCTATAAGAATATGCATAATAAGACCTACCTTTTTATTTAGTTGGTTTTTTCATTTTTTAAATTTTAATAAATTTATTGATTTATTTTACATCCCAGTTGCAGTTTCCCCATGCTCCCCCTGCCCCCCCAGCCCCCCAGCAATCCACCGCCCCTCCATTTCTGTTTAGGAAAGGGCAGATCTCCCATGAGTATCAACACAACATGGCATATAAAGTTGCAGTAAGACTAAGCACCTCCCCATGTATTAAGGCTGGGCAAGGTGACCCGGTATGGGGAGTAGGGTCCCAAAAGTCAGTAAAAGAGTCAGAGACATCTCCTGTTCCCACTGTTAGGATTCCCACAAAAGGGCCAAGCTACACAACTGTCACATTTTTTGCTTTTTTTTTTTTTTTCTCGAGTCAGAGTTTCTCTGTGTAGTTTTTGGTGCCTGTCCTAGATCTTGCTTGTAGACCAGGCTGGCCTCAAACTCACAGAGATCCGCCTGGCTCTGGCTCTGCCTCCCGAGTGCTGGGATTAAAGGTGTGTGCCACCACTGCCTGGCTTATTTAGTTACTTTTGAGATATAGTCTCATAAGTCCCAGGTGGACCTTCAACTCCTCATGTCGCTGAGGATGACCTTGTACATTTGATTCTTCTGCCTCCACCTTCCAAGTGCTGGGCTACGGGTGTCCAGTTATGTAGCACTGAGGACTGAACTGAGGATTTTGTGCCCTCAGACAAGCCCCCTAGTCACCTAAGCCACACCCAGCCCTCCTCCTCCTCCTCCATGTTTCACTTCCAGCAAGAAGAGGGAAGGTTATGGAATATTGTTGTTGCTGTTCTGAGCGGACTCTTACTGGCTAATCTAGGCTAGCCTGGAGCCCACTTTGTAGCCCAGGCTGATCACAAACTTGAGTCAATTCTCCTGCCTCAGTCTTCCAAGCATTGGGATTACAGGTGTGCACTACCACTCTGGGCTTAAGATTTTCTCTCCTTACCTCATAGTGCATAAAGTTAGATGTGCCAGCACACACCTGTAATCTTAACACTGGAGATAGAGACAGGGGGACCAGGAGTTCAAGATCATCCTCTGCTGGTTAAGGGAATTCAAGGCTAGCCTGGGCTACATGAGATATGGTTTGAAAAATAAAAAACTAAACAGATTTTCTTTTTTTGTAAAGATGCGTTTTGGTTTCATTGTTGTTGCTCTGATAAAAGACCAGATAAAAAACAAACTTTGGGTGGGGAGGATTTATTTTAGCTCACAATTCCAAGTCACGGTCCATCATTGAGAGGAAATCAAGGTAGCAAAGGCAAAAGATAGCTGGTTTTACTTTTATTCTATCTACAGTCGAGGGCAGAGGAGCGATGCGCGCACACCTAGTGCTCAGCTGGCTTTATAGAGAGATCTCATACAGTCCAGGGCCTCAAACCAGAGAACGGTGCTGGGCACTTTCAGGCTGGGTCTTCCCACGTCAATTAAGGCAATAAGACAATTCCCCGGAATGTCTACAGACCAACTTAATTTAGACAACACCTCTAGGAGACTCTCTTCCTGGGTGACTGTAGATTGTATCAAGTTGCCAATTAAAACTGGATCCTTCTTAATAATTACTTAATTATTACTTAATAAATGCTCATTGCTGTTATGAGCAATTCATGATAAACACATGCAATCTGTTAATCAAAAATGCTGCTGGGCGTGGTGGTACATGCCTTTAATACCAGCATTTGGGAGGCAGAGACCAGCCTGGTCTACAAAGGGAGTTCCAGGACAGCCAGGGCTACATAGAGAAACAGTGTCTCACCTTAAAAAAAAAAAAAAAAAAAAAAAAAAAGCAAATAAATAATAAATAAATAAAAATAAAAAATGCTAAAGTGGGCTGGATGTGGTGGCACATGTCTTTCATCTCAGCACTGGTAGAGGCAGAGGCAGGCTGGGTCTCTGTAAGTTCAAGGCCAACCCGGTCTACAAGGTGACACCCTGTCTCATGAAAACAACAATAAAACCAGAACCACAACCAAACAAAAAGTGCTTTAAGCAAACGATATGTGGTGACACAAACTGTAACTCCAGCACTTGGGAGGCTGAGGCGGGAGTTACCTGAATTCCATGTCGTGAGACCCTGCTTCAGAAACAGGACAAAGCTCAAGGCTGCTGAAATGGCCCAGCAGGTAAAGGCACTCACCTCTGAGCCTTGAGCCTGAGTTCCAGCCCCAGGACCCATACAGCGGAAGGAGATGACAGATTCCCAAAGAAAGCTGTTCTCGGATCTCCAGACTTGTGCCATGGCCCATGAACACACACACACACACACACACACACACACACACACACACACACACACACACACACTCAAGAACTGTGGCTTTGTTGTGGGGGTCCCTGGACCCAAGTCCCTGTTCAGGGCATCGAGGCAAGCTTCCACCTCTTAAAAGGTTCCTATGAGGAGGAGAGAGGAGTAACAATTTTTTAGATAGAAAGATAGCAGAGAGGAGACAGACAGAAACACAGGATAGCTTTGGGAGGACCTGGATCAAAATCCACTGGCCCCTTCTGTCTCTTCAAAGGGGCTTTTTATAACAATGCCAAGGGGTGGGGCAAAAGTCCTTCCCTTGCTAGATCAAAGCACACAGCACAGCCAAGTGCAGACCCTTCCCAACACCTGGTAACCACGCCCATGGTCAAATCATCCCCTTATGCAGCCCTGCTGGGTAAAGCAAGCTCGGATCTCACTTGGAAACCTCTGAGGGTCTCCACACCTTGTGACTCTCGATCTGTTGCCCTTAGCCTGGGGAAGAATGGTTCAGTCCCAACTGCACAGAGCGGTGCCGCTGCATGCCCGGCAGCCGGATGGAGTGCCAGATCTCCCAGTGTGGGACACACACTGTCTGCCAGCTGCAGAACGGCCAGTATGAATGCCAGCCCTATGGTAAGCGCTGGCCCTCATGCTGTCATGGTGAGAAGGGGGGTGGGACACTTGGGAGTGCATTTGCTATTCCCATCACCACATCTGCATGTGTTCTGTTCTGGTCCCAGAAAGCCACCCCTCCTGTCTTTCTAAATCATTACTCTGTCAGAGTGGGTGAGAGCTTGTATCCTCCACATCTCCCTCGAGCAGTGGAGCTGGGAATATCTCTGGGTAGGAGAGGCTGGGGTGTGGGATTCAGTCAAGTCGGACACTGGAAACAGCTTCCTACATCTCCGTTCCCCTTCTCTGGCAGGTAGTGCTACCTGCCTGGTCTATGGGGACCTTCATTTTGTCACCTTTGATGAGAAGAACATTGACTTCACAGGGACATGTACCTATATCTTGACCCAAATCTGCGAGAACACCACAGGTAGGGGACTGGAGCCAGAGCTGGGGATGGGGGGTGGGGGAGGTGGGCAGGGGCTGAGATTATAGAGTAAGTGTCAGGCTCGGGGACACAGGAGGTGGTCGAACACTGGACCAAAGCCCTCTGTTAAGCGGCAGCTGGGATGTGCAGGGCACACAGAGACAAGGCTTTCGGGGGGGCCCCCTCCTGGGGAAGTGCAGCGAAGCTATCATCGTCCTGCTACTGTGGGAGGTTCCCTGGGCAGAGTGAGTTACTGGTAAAGGGACTCTTGCTGGAGGATGTGCCTCAGTCAGTAGAGTGCTTGCTTAGTGGGTATGAAGCACTGGTTTCCACCCCCAGGGCCTCAGCAGTGTGGAGTGCAAGCCTGTCCTCTCAACACTGGGCAGGTGGATCTCCAGGAGTTCAAGGTCATCTCAGCTACAGAGTTTGAGACCAGCCTGGGCTACATGAAACAGGGTGACAGGGACTCATGAATGAACAAGATTGCCTGAAGATGTCCCAGTCCATGGCGGGGAGACAGGCAACCATAACAGCAGACAGTCATGCCATGTCCCTTTCTCTTTGGGTTCTGAGACCCTTACCAAGTCTCAGGGCCATATCCCTGAACCTTCTGTCTGCCCCATAGTGCCAGGGTGGGCACCGCCACCAACAGGGTCTCAGAAAGCAGAGGATGGGGTGGTACATGTTTTTAATCCCAGCATTCTGGAGGCTGAAGCAGGAAGAGTGTCAGTTTCAGCTTGGGATACATAGTAAGACTCTGTCTGAAAACCAGTGGGGGCTGGGGGCGCGGCTCAGTTGGTTGGGTGCTTGTTCAGCATGCACAGAGCCCTAACTGGGTTTCACCCCTGGCACCACATAAACTGGATACGGTGGTACATGTCTATAATGCCAGCACCGGGGAGGCAAGAGTGGTACTCTCAGGAGTTCAAGGTCATTCTTAGCTAGCCTAAGCTATAATGAGACCCTGTCTGAAAACAAGCAACCAGCCAAACAAACAAACAAACAAACAAACAAATGTTTGTGATCTGGCCCTTCCTCTCTCCATCTAGAACCATCCTTTAAGATAACTGCAAGCACTGAGGAACGAGGAGTAGAAGGTGTATCCTCCCTAGACAAAGTCTTCATCACCCTGCCAGAGACTACCATTACCATGATCAGGGACAGATACACACTGGTGAGTCCTATCCTCCACTCACCCCCACCAGGCTACAGTCGCCCCACCTGTCCCCAAACCCTGCTAAGGATGGGCTTCAACAAATAACGATGGTGACGCTTCGAACAGCCCGGGGGAGAGAGAGAAGCTGAAGGGAAGCTGTGGGCGTGGTGCCGTTAGCCTTGGGTGTGACGTTAGGGTCTCAGGGTCCTCCCGGACCCCGATCACTCTCTCTGCCTCCTCTATCTGCCAGATTGCGGGACAGAGAGTCACCCTCCCAGTGATACCTTCAAATGGCATCTTTGTGGGTCTAAGCGGGCGATTCGTGGAGCTGAGGACGACATTTGGTTTGCGTGTGAGATGGGATGGTGACAAGCAGCTCTTTGTGACTGTGCCCAGGTAAGGGGAGGCAGCCTAGTCAGGAAGCTGACATTTCTCTCCCAGAGTGCTCCACCCCCAGCCCACCTCCTACCACTGCAGTCCCTCAGGGTTAATCGTTTATATAGGTCCTCAAAGCTGGGAAGCAGCTAACCCAGGCTCAGAAGGGAGACAGTAGGAAGTGGGGTCAGGACAGTGAGGTAACAGCAGGAGGCGCACACAGGCCTTGGGACTGTGCGGCACAGAGTCGCTCCCTCGGGGACTTCGGGGAGCTGTCAGAAGAGCTGATGCTGGACGCGTTCTTCAAGGAAGAGTGGCTCCCCAGATGAATGGAGAAGGACAAGTCAGGCTTTGTGGAAAAGTGACACAGGGACACGGGAGGTGGCTGATCTGGTAAAGAGCTAAGTTCCACCCCTGGAAAAACACACACACACACACACACACACACACACACACAAATCTAGGTACAGTAGTGTGCTTATGATACCAGTGCTAGGGAAGCAGGGGTAAAGGATTCTTGGGGCCTGCTGGCCGTCTACTCTAACTGAATGGGTCAGCTCCAGGGTCAATGAGAGACCCTTGCTCAAAAATGAAGGTGGAGGAGGCTGAGGAGGTAGTTCAGTGGGCAAGGGTTCTTCTTGCACAAGCACAGGACCTGAGCTTGAATCTTAAAAGCTGGACTTGGCTGTGTGTGCATCTGGAACTCCAGTGTTGTATGGGCCAGAGACCGGAGGATCCCTGGAATTTGATGCCTGCCAGCCTAGTTCCAGATTCAGCGAGAGACCCCGTCCCAAAGACATAAAGTGGAGAGTGATCAAGCAGGACATCCAACTTCCTTCTCTGGCCTCTGAGTGCACATGACAGTATTTAAAACACACTCACCAGGGCTGGAGAGATGGCTCAGTGGTTAAGGGATTAAGAGAACGTTCTTAAGCAGACCAGAGGACCCAGGTTAAATTCTGAGCATCTCCACAGCAGCTCACAACTGCCTGTAATTCTATCCCCAAGGGACACGATGCCCTCTTTTGACTTCTGTGGACACTGCATGTATGTAGTGCACCGATATACATGCAGGCAAAACACCCATATGCATAAAATAAAAACACATGCTGGGTGGTAGTGACACACTTCTTTAATTTGGGAGGCAGAGACAAGCAGATCTCTGAGCTCAAGGCCAGCCTGGTCTACAGAGTGAGTTCCAGGACACAAAGAAACCCTGTCTCAAAAAACCAAAAATCAACCAACCGAAAAAACAAAAAACAAATGAAAAAACACTAAAACACATATTCACACATACACACTAAAAAGAAAAAATAAGGGGGACAACACCTGAGGAAGATACCCATTGTTGACCTCTGCCCCCCCCACATGCATGCCTGTGCATATCCACATGCATGTGAGTGTATGCACACACTGAGAGAGATAGAGAGGGGGTGGGGAGAAACACATTCTTGTTTAAACCCATGAGAAGGTAGAGGGCAGCAGAGGATGTTGAGCAGCCAGGTCAGAGGAGACCCTGTACAGATGCTCAGGCTGGGGCCTGTCACAGAATCTGTTAAGAGTGGATAGTCTCAACCCCCTCCTGTCTCTTACCATCAGGGCACACAGCTCACCGTCCCCTTGCTGTGGTCTCTGATGACTTACCCCTCTCCCGGACCCGCAGTACCTACTCAGGCAAACTCTGTGGTTTCTGTGGGAACTATGACGGGGACAGCAGCAATGATTACCGGAAGCCGGATGGCACAATGACACAGGATGAGGATGAGCTGGGGAAGAGCTGGCAGGTAGAAGAGGAAGAGGACAAGAAGTGAGTGGGGCTCTCCCCTGGGGGCCAGGGGTGGTCCTCCGTTTTCAACCCTCTGACCGTGCCCATATTAAGGTCTACCAGAGCTGGGCTTAGCTGTTTGTGCCTGTCATTCCAGAAGAGGCCCAAATGTCTGGGGCTGCAGACATAGCAAGATCCAGTTTCTAAAATCCAAGAGCTGGGGAATATAGCCCAGTGGTGGAGCCCCTGCCTAGAATCCCCCAGTGAGGGGCTGGGGTGTGACTCAGTGGTAGAGCCCCTGCCTAGAGTCCCCCAGTGAGGGGCTGGGGTGTGGC